TTTGGGAAAACATTCAATACATTCTAAAGGCAGTCATCAACAAAGGTGTTCTTTGATGTTATTTATTCTCCTTTTGGTTGTTTGGTGATTTTTGGGATGAGTTCTAACATTTCAATCAACAATGTGATCAGTTTGCTGTGCGCCATGTTGAATGAACAGAAGAGAAAGACTTGGTGACAAATCTGCCTTGATTACCAATTAACTGTCTACTGCCTACTATTCTCCTAACAGAAGCCTACTCCTGAAATTAATGAAATCCCTGTCACAAGCCAGCCTAACCAATTACACCCTTACATCATTGCACATAATCTCTACACTGTTCTCTATACATTTCCAACAGTGTCATAAGGAGAATTTGTTTAACAACCAAGAGCTTCTTTAGAAAGTGCTCATTTCTTATGCTGTATTCTTGTGACCTTCATGTGTGACATAGCAAGCAGAAATTAGATCCTAGTCGCTTGTAGGGTTAAAGAGGAAAGAAAGAAACAGAATAAGAAGAGGTCCTATGATAAACTGCTATTGTCTGAGTTGGGTTACATAGGGTAGAAAGTCATGATGTACAGACCACACTGTTCTTGGTCCATACTTCACAACCTTGATCGGAATATTTTCTTATCTAGCATAATTAATCTTTTAACCCTTTAACCCATGAGTGTGACTAACATCTAATTTCTCCTTACAATATCACCCCTGAATCACACATTAAGGTCAGGAGAATAAAGAAAATGATCACCAACTAAAAAAGCTTCTGACTGTTAAACAAGATCCCCCTGTTAGCACTTAAAGAAATGTGTAGCAAACAGTATGGAGAATATGCATACTGGTGTTGGGATGCCAAAATACATTTAGTCCCACTCTTACTTGGAAATACTTTTGCTCTTTGAAAAGTTGAAGTAAGCAGGTCTCCCACGAAGCACAATTGTCTGTCCACTCTGAAAAGGTAAAAACAAATTACATTAATTTCTGTTACATCATATTCTCAACAAAATCACTTTGTAATCATACCAATGTGCATCCTTTGTGCACATTAATCAAAACACTTTTCAAAAGTTTGCTAAATGCCTGTTGTTGATCATGAGTAGAATGCTTTAATTTTCACAGTATTTTGAACTTAACATCTTTTATATACCACATTTCCTCAAGTTAGTGCCAGGGCAATTATTTAAAATTTCACCTGTAAGAAGGAGCATATAAATTATTGGAAGGAGGGGGCTTAATCCAGGAGACGATTATTAAGAAATCATTGTTAGTAAGGGATTCTTCATTATAAAACAAATAGAGAAGCCTTGACTGTGCTCTGTACTAATGTAAAGCTCCTTGGAAGCCACTAGAGCACTCAAGTGGGAGAAACACTTGACTACATCTGGAGTTTCTCCCTACACTTCTCCATTTGTTATAAAATCTAGCAAGATTTACCTGTGTATAATCCATCAGAGATTTTGCTGATGAAACATCCTACAATGAAAAAGAATATCTATCAAGATAGGATTACAAGCACATTGTACATGTACTATGACTGAATTTTAATGGTTCTCTGCTGGTTTAGAAGAACTTCAGATCTAACTGATTTCAGACCAGTTTGCTGTCTATTTTTTGTCTGTTAAGGGGTTAACCCTTTCAAGATCTGATTTTTAATCCTCCCCTCCAGCAGCTATTCATTTCTCTGTTAATTAGTTACAAAAATTTGGTGTTAGATCAAGATAACACTTACTGCCGCCCAGGAATGTATCTAGAGTGGACTTAAGGAAAAAGCGTGCTTTCAATTTACCTGTGGTCTGTATGAACATGTGCCGTGATAGTTTTATCTTTCATCATTCATGCATGCTTTGTATAAGCTGACTTTATTAA